AATCAAGTTGATTTTGATTGATCAAGGATTGATTCAAGCCAGCTGGTGTTTTATTTTCATAGTGTATGTTATTCTTCTAATACACTATTAAAAAAAAAAATCTATATACATAGTATTAGACAAAAAGCAAAATAAATTAGTAAAATATTTTGTGTTTTCAGTTAGATTGTTAGATCTCAAGATTCTTCATACAAATAGGAATAGGCGAAAAAAGTTTATAAGAGATGATTTAGAATGAAAGGAAATAAATTATTACTTTTTATTTGCATATTTGTGATGTATAATCCAACAGATACGCAGAAACTCTACTTTGTAACTGAATCATGTTACGTAATAGCAAAATATGAACATGAATATTATGCCATATTTAATGTGGACCATTGCACAATTACTATTGTAGAGGTTACCCTATTATGGACCATACATCCCTTTTAGAAAAATACTGTGCCCTTGTTCAAAGCTTTTCCCCTTTAGTTCAGTTCATGAAATCAGAAGGGATACATTTTAAAAAGCCTTAAATAATGAAATATTCTCTTTTTAAAAAGAAAGTATTTAAGTGAACCTGATGTCTAAGAATATTGGAACAGTGTTTAATATACAGAGTAAACTCAAAAATGTTTGGACATAACATAAATTTACATTCTTTATGTTTGCACACAGAGACACAAAGGGCTTTCATTATGGAGATGTACAGATACACAAGAAAGAATATACTTGGAAGAGACCATAAATTGTACTGGAGAGAACCTGATTACTATACCAAGCTTCAATATCAGTAGTATACATAGACATTACTAACAAGCCACTAATTTGTTTAAGCAGATATACATATTTTCTGTTTCTTGGATCAGACAGGGTTATTACCATAGTGTTTTATGATTGATATTATTATCATTTTAAAATGTCGGTAATCAGTGGATGCAGAATTTGATGCTTTACAACTTTTATCTTATCAGTGTTTCTCTTAGAAAACTCATTTTCAAGTTGCAGGCCTAGTATATATTTGAGTTTTTGAAAGAAAATTGTAAAATTATCATTCATTAACTGTTGTTTTCGACCATACCACTTAACCAAATACTCATTCGATGCACAATTTAGCATTTTTTAATATCCTTTAAGAGTAAGTTTTTCATTTGGATACACTATTTAGGAGTTATTGATGAAAAAATAAAAAAAGTTGTGACAAATCTGGCTTTTTTGTACGTCAAAAGTTTCCACTGGGTGGCCCATGCAAGCAAACATTTTTCAGTTTTACATGTTTGAACCCAAATAAAGAAGTTAAAAAAGAAAAAAACTTTAATCACATTTTCGCAACATATTTACGGTGTTGACCCTAGTTACTGGCCTAATATTCTTTAAACCAGCCACCATTTTGGAAAATAGTGGTTCTGGAATGGCAGACAAATTTCATTTCACTTAGAATAACATACACTTTCATAATTCATATTCAAACCTTCTTTCAGTACTGTTTTTTAGGCCCTGACTTCAGGGCTACCACGCACAACTTAACATTTTTTAATTTCTTAAAGATTAAGTTTTTCGCTTGAATTCCTCATTCAGGATTTGTTGGTGAAACAATAAAAACAGATCTATAAAATCTTACATGGATTATCCAAGAACAAAGTATTTTTCCTAATACCCCTTACTCCTCCAAGTTGCACTATTCCACCATTAATTATATACATCACGAATTTAACCCAATAAAAAAATTCTCTTTTAATATACATCATTCATAAATTCTTTCAAATTTTAAATGTGAACTTACAACTGATTTTATTTCTTAATAATTGTAAAAAATCAACCATCTTCAACTATATGAGTATATTGGTACATTAATATTTTTTAAAACTTTTTTTATTTTTATAATATGCAGAATTTTTTATCAAACTAGATTTATTTTTAAATAATTACTCAAAAACCTCATTTTGTTATTTATACCATTGGTACTAGTATAATAGCGGCTAGCCTATTTATTTTTATTATATTTATATTTATATCTTCGTATCCATATTTATTGTATTATATTGATATTATTAAAATTGAGAACAAAAACAAAAGTAATAATAAAAAAATGCTTTTATTTTACAAGATATACATTAAATAGATCAAAACATTATACATATATAATTAAAAAACATCACGAAAACATTGCAACATATATATAAAAATAAGTGAAATAATAAAAATAGGTAAAAATAAATAAATAAAATTATGGGACCACCCATAAATGAATTTTAAAGCCGTTAAAAAAGAAATCCTTGACCCTTCTAACCACGTTCCTTTCCTTATTTTTTTTTATTTTTTATTTTTTAATAATAATACAATCAGCCACTGTTGGAGGGCTATAAGAATTAAGGCTAGAAGTTCTCATTCATACAGTATATACAAATAATAAAGATATAACTATAAATATAAAAATTAAATAAATAATACTGATAAAAAGAAGTAAATAAATAAGAAAAAATAAACAAACAAACTAAAATAAAAACTTCTAAACACATTCATACCTATATACAATATATACATTCGCCCAGGAATCTCCGAGCTAGGCTTTTTCCCCCACATGTGGAAAGCGAATCAGGACTCCAGAAAATCCCAGTGCCACTTTTCCAATCGCATCACTAGTATTAGAAGCCAGTGGAGGCTGAAGGAGGGCACTAGAGCCACAGATGCTCAGGATTTGAGTGGAGAAGCTGGCCATTGCCAGGTCTCCAGAAGCATATTTACAATAGATCTCGTGGCCACTGCCATTTTAACCTTCGAGGAGGGTTGTAGAGATGATGGGAGCTGGATAGGGATTGAGCTAGAGGATTTGGATGATGGATAAGGTTCTGGTGAAAGTTTGAGAATCTGAATAGGATGATGTCGAGGACAAACGGGATGTTAAGGTCACGGTATAAGGTCTTGTTTATGACATAATATGGGGCATTGGCTATTGTTCTAAGTACTTTGGACTGGAAGGATTGGATGCGTTTGATATTCGAATGTTTAGCAGTTCCCCACAGTTCGTAGATCCAGATAGGTTTCAGTATTGTCTTGTAGATTAAAAGTTTATTTTCAATCGAAAGATACTGCTTTTAGTCTATATATCTGGCCATATCGTCGGTTAAGTTCTTGTCTTTTAAGTCTTGTATGTGGGATCCAAGTTAGTCTGTTGTCTAGAAGGAAGGCAAGGTAACGGACTGTATATGAGTAGGGAAGTGGTGTTGAATTGAAAAGGATTGTGGGACAGGATCTGCATCCCAGGGTGAAAGTGATATGTTTGCATTTTGCTTCATTGGTTTTGATGCGCCAGTTGTTGCACCACTGCTTCAACAAGGAGAGGTGAGATTGTAGGTTTAGAGATGCTATTTGAGGATCTGAGTGGGAGGATAGAATGGCAGTATCATCCGCAAATGTAGCTAGGAAGGTATCGGGATTTGAAGGGATATCGGTAGTGAAGAGGATGTAGAGAACTGGACCCAAAACACTGTCTTGTGGAACACCAGACTCAACTGGATAGTAAGTGGAGAATTCGGTGCTGTAACGGACTTGGAAGGAACGATTTGAGAGATAGGATTTGAGGACTAGGTATAAGGATTGGGGTAAATGGGTTTTGAGATTGAAAAGCAAGCCATTGTGCCACACCCTGTCAAAAGCTTGCGCTACGTCCAGAAAGGCACCACTGCAATATTGCACGTTTTCAAGTGCAGAGGATATATGGTCCACAACACGAAAGCCTTGTTGGACAGTGGAGTGTCTTGAGCGGAATCCAAATTGATGAGAAGGGATGTTGTGGGATTCGAGTATGGGTAGGATGCGTTTGAGAAGGATTTTCTCAAAGATTTTTGAGAGGATAGGGAGTAAGCTTATCGGTCTGTAGGATGATGTGTTATTAACAGGTTTGCCTGGTTTTGGGAACAGGACGATTATGAAGTGTTTCCACATCAAGGGAAAGTTAGTTGTACAAAGGATGCAATTGTATAGATAGGTCAGGAATATAATTGCTTTTTTGGAAAGTTGTGAAGTGAAGAGATCATATCCAGGGGATTTTCGGGGTTTTAATTTGTTTATAAGAAATTTGACCTCAGAGGGATTAACAGGTTTTGGAGGTAGAGAAGGAGGAATTGGTGAAGAGAGGAATTCTTTAACTTCAGCAGTGTGGGTGGGATGGAGTTCGGGATGGGGAGTGAATGTGTAGGATAGATGTTTAGCAAACTCTTCAGCTCTATTCACATCTAACGAAGTCCAGGAACCATCATCACGGTGGAGGGGGTGGGAAATGGACTAGAATTTAATGATTTTTTTATTTACATTCAAGAGGGAGTTATCACTAGATGATAATGAGGAAAGGTTGGAATTGTAGGATTGTGTTCTAAAGGTATGCAGTTTTTTTTTTTACCTGTTTGGAATAATAATTATACAATTTCCGGTCATCAGGATGCCTGGTTCTTTCTTTCCTTATAGAAACGGTTTTGTTACAACTACGAAAGCATCTACATTTAATCTTCCTGTCGAACTCCATTTAATGACATTCATTATTATTGAAATTGTGAACAAAAACAAAAGTAATAATAAAAAAATACTATTATTTTACAAGATATATATTAAATAGACAAAAAAATTATACATATATAATTAAAAAACATTGCGACATATATCCCAGTGGCTTGAAAATATTTGATAGCATCTACTTCTGAAGACGGCAATTTCCACGATGTGACAACATCCATAATTAAATAAGACTAACTCACAGCTTACACAAGGAACAAAAAATAAACAAGGGAATGACTTAGATTAGAGGAGTTAAGGGAGGTGATGTGAAATAGGATTAGATAACAAGGGAGGTTTTGACGCTACCCGCTATTATACAAGTACCATACCATTATTCTTAACAGACAAATAATAATTATTATTATTATTAAGGATAGAATAAATTGATAAATTTTTAATCAAAAATACATCAAGTCATTTTAGAAAGAATTTGAACAAAACAATAAAATATCGAAAATAGTTCTTACTTCTCATGTGTTTTCTGACAGGAAGGATGAATGGCAACTTAGGGTCTCTCACTAAATCTGGATAGTAAAATGAGCCAATTGTGATAACATCAGCTGGAAGATCGTTGATCACCGTATGGAAATGGTTGTGTCTTTCAATTATTTCTGCTCCTTCAGCTGTAGGTATCAGCGTCTTGTGGTCCTCTATAACACGAAAACATTTTAAAATTATTATATATTTAAAGCATCTTCAAATCCTTCTATAAACTATGAAAACATTTATTACTCACAACTCTAAATCATTCCAAAATAAAGAGCAATGCTGTGAGTTATGAACTTCTCTGTGTGCACAAGGCTTGGGAGATAATCATAAAGCACATAACTCATTAGATCCAGTTAAGCATAACTCAGTAGAACTGGCTGTTAGCAAAGTTAAATTATTTTTAGCCTGAAGATTTAACGGAATTATGCCAGAAATGATGTCTAAGTGGAGCAGAGTTGATAAGGATGGAAATCTTTAATTTATCATAATAAAACTGACAAATGTCAAAAAACTGAGGAAAGCAATATAGAAACCATATGGAGGGAGTCTACAAAAATTAATTCCATAATTCCGGAAAGAGGTTTGTGATGAGAAACAGAAATAACACTGTATAAAATTCATTAGAACTTTAGGAATCAATAATTGTAAGCTCATTAATGCTGTCAACAGGATTAAGAAAATTAAAGCTATGTGAAACAGAAATGCAAAGATGAAAATAATAATAAATAAAATAATACAAAAATAATAATAATAATAAAATAATAATTTACTGTTTCTACAAAATCAAAAAATAGCTCATCCATAGCAGACCCATAGTAAACCCATAAAGCATTAAATTTAAACTAACATTCTCCTCTGAATACCTTTTAAAAGCAGATTAAGTAGCAAAGGAACCTTTGCTTTAATTTTGTAATAAATTTATAAGTTTATATTAGTTTATTGATTATTATTTTAATTAAAATTGTTTTCCAAAAAAAAATTGATGTACATAAAAAAATGAAAACAAACATTTTATTTATAACTCAACTGTTCATCAGGTCATTTGTTGAGAAGGAAGTTTTTTTCACTCTTGAGGACTTTTCTCTTACTCTGCTGTCATGTTCTAGTGGGTGAGCTATAGTTGAATAGGTGATTATAAGAAAAAAAAGGAAACTAATTATCTCCTGTAGGCACATGAGAACATTTAAGCTATAGATCATCACAGTCATTTTTCTTGTTTTCTTAAATGAAGTCCTCTTGATGAAAAAAATCAAGAAATGCCTTCACCACAACCTAAATCTATCAGTGAATTTTGCTAACAAAGATTTTTGTGAGAAATCCAAATATTGATAAACATTACAATAAAATATTTTACTAATATTAGGTGGTTTAAACGATAAACTAAGACCAAGAGAAGATATGTGCTTTGTCTATTAGCTTAAACCAATGGCCACAGGTACATCTCTTTGGGCATCCTTAATTATCTCCCATCCACAGAATTTACGTCAACTCTTCCTGACAAATACATGCCATAAATCAAGATTCAAGGTTAGATGGAACATGACATTCAATGAAACGAAAATATCTGGAGGGCTGGGTAAAACATGGCGAATAAACAAAAAACCAAAACCTTGTTAAATAGCAAACATGATGAACAACAAGGAAGAAGCTGTAACAGTCCAAGAGGTTTACTTCACAACTTATGGAAAAAAAAATACTTTACTATTAAAAACTATGAACGACCTCAGATGGTGTTCTTATACATTTTTCTCAAATCGATCAGAATGGAGTCAGAAGCTTAGCACCTTACCCACTAAACAACTCCATGAACGTCACCATCCAAAACAAGTCTTTTATCCTCATAAACATACATAACATCAAGTTTTAGGTTAGATGTGGTACCAGGAGAAAATAAGAATGTACAGAATGAGAAATACAACAACAATAAAAACGTTTAAAGCTCGCTGTAGGTTGTGTTACCGAAAACCAGATCTATCAGTATGGCTATGTCCAAGATTCTTCTAATTTATCTACTAGCCAAAAAAAATGTGTTTTTACAAAAAGGTGTAACAACACGACATGAGAATTAAAAATAAGAATACTTTTTACAGTTGGATTTACAGACATGAAACATTTGATTGATTAATTAATTTATTTTTTAAATCATTATACATACTATATTGTTCTTCGAGGTAGAAAATTATTTTAGCCGAATCAGCAACAATGTTTTCCCCATCCTTGATCACTGGAACTTCTCCCCTGGGATTGATATCCAAGAAATATGGTTTGTATTGTTCTCCTGCAGCAATGTTGATAAACTGTGTCTTGAATTTAATACCTCGCTCATTTAATACAAACAGCAGCTATAAAGATAAAAGAGAACTAATTATAATCTAGTTTATTAAAAGTATATATATATATATATATGTACTATTCATGGAAAGTAAATTCCTGAAAAGTAACATCCAATCCTCAGTCATGTAACTTTATTTTTCACCTTCAGTGTGTATCTGTCTGAACTCAAGTATCTCAATAAAACAACCCTAAACACAATCACTAAGATCAAATTAAAATTCTGTCAGTATTTTAAGAGTATAGCTTTTTACAAATCACAATACTTTGAAAATGGACTAATAGATGCAAAATTCAGTTTCAAAGAGATATAACTCATAATCATAATCAGGGTTGCCATTACTAGCGGATTCAGGATTTAATTTTTGCGGAGAGGGCTTCAGCCTGAAAGCTTTTTTAATTCATATATTTAACGATAATTACTTTGGGAAAAAAGAAAGATACTAAGTACCTATATGAAATGGTGTTTAAGTGATTCTTTAAGTCCTATAAAATATAATTACATGAACAATAATACTTTAAGAGATACTTTTTTTATCATAGATATGGTTACATTTTACCATTTTGGAAGAGCTTCAGCCTGAAATCCCTCACTCCTCCTCCCCTCCCTCTGTAGATCTGCCTATGGTTGCCATCTTCTTCCATAAGCAATTTGGATATTGTATATAGATATGACTGAGTTTTTATGTTTTTAATTTACTTATCTTTAAGTTACTTTATTTTTTATTGTACACAGTTGTGTGATTACTATTTTACTTTTGTTAATTTTATGTTTTCTGTATATATGGTGTGAATGTGTTCATATCTCACTATAATTATTGTCCATGTGACAGATTATTATATTTCTAAATAAATAAAATTTGAAAAAATAAGCAATTTGGAAAAAGAGATGTAACTGGGAGGGATGGAAATAAATTTAACAGATTTAAAAAATCATTTATGGTTTTATGAATATAAAATGTATACACATCACAATTTTGTAAATTGACAAAACACTTTCAAAAGTTTTAAGTAGCAAACAGTAGATGCTAATATAGTTTTATTTATATTTTCTTAACAACTTTTTTTTTTCAGTTTACTTAACTTTCATACTTGAGAATTTTTAATAATACATTAAAACTAATTATTGAGGATAATTATGAAGATTACCACAACCCCGATGAAAAGCAGTTAAAAAATTATGAAAGAAAAATTGATTTGCCTAAAACATAAAAATTGTAAAATTTATTATTCATCATATACATGATAATTGGAAAGTTAAATTACCTTGAAAGCGAAAGTGCAGGATACTAGACTTTATAGTAATGTATATGTTATTATTTTTTCATATTAGTATTTTCTGAATTTGCTCTAAATGGATTTCTAAGTTATTATACATCAATCAATTTGTTTTTTTAAATAAACTGAGAAAAATCTTATTGCTGATAGAATCAAACGAATTCTAATGTGTAATAAAAAAGTAAATTTCTGTATTGAAAAAATGATTGATTTTTTAATTTTGTTTTTTAGGTCCACTTAAGCTCCAAAAAGTACGACATTGTTTTGAAATTTAAAAAAATTTGATTTTTTAGCTTAATTTAATGGGAGGAGGTTTTGTTCATGCCTTTAACTAATATATTCATAATCCTCACCATTTTCTCCTATATCAACGTTGTTATAACCGTTGGAAAGCTAAATTATTGCTCTTGAAAATCATATCAACAATTTTCCCATTTTCCACCTTTAGAAGGAAGAAATAAAGTAAAAGTTCCTAAACTTTTTCATTTTTTATCTCCAATTCTAATTTATTTGCGGACGTCTGGTTTGTGTTATTGCGTGTATATTATAAGGCTCTTAACTTAAACTAATTTTCGTGTGGATAAGTGGAGCTTTTTTGAAGATATCACAATTTTTGTGATTTTCGAAAAAAAAAAAATCGAGGTAGACAGAAATTTTAAGAAAAACATTTTTATGTTTCGATTGGTATGAAAATTTAAGGGTTTTTCGAGTTAATGTAAGACAGAGGCGACGGTTTCTAAGATAAAGCTATAAACATAGATGGATCTCATAAAGGCTATAAATAGAAATACATGCCGAGCAGTCAGAAAACAGTAATAAAAAAAAAATTATAAATGTTTTTATATTTTTATTTTCACTTACCTATATATGAAATATATAGTAAGGGACAGTATTGCGATCGTGAAAATTTTCGACTCTTGAGTTTTCAACGGAAATACGTGTTTTGAGGTCTCTTGAGTCCAAATAACCAAGTCCCGAAAATGTTGTGTGTGTGCACGGGCGGATCTACGGGGGGGGGGGGCTTTCGAGCTGAAGCCCCCCCCCCCCAATGGAAAAATATAACCATGTTTTATGGAAAAAAATATTTAAAAATACCTCTTAAAGTATTATTGTTCGTGTAATTACATTTAAAAGTACTCAAGGAATAACTTAAACACCATTTCATATAGGTAGTTAGTGTCTTTCTGTTTTTCCAAAGTAATTATCGTTATTTTTATGAAAAAAAAAAGGTTTCGGGCTGAAGCCCCCCCCAAAATTAAATCCTGGATCCGCTAGTGTGTGTGTGTGTGTGTGTTTTTGTGTTTTGTTTCTCTAATTATCTTTTATATAATTAATATATCAATATAAGTAATATATATAGTACGGAAAAGCATTGAGATCGTGAAAATATTCGAATCTAAGTTTTCAACGGAAATACACGTTTTGACGTTCCCTGAGTTCAAATAACCAAGTCTCGAAAAATGATCTGTATGAGTGTGTGTGAGAACAGTCTAGCTCAAAAACGAAACGTCGTAGGAAACTGATATTGCGTATTTAAGATAGGTATATGCCTTAGATGTTACAGCAACTTTTCCCTTGAAATCGCCCTACCGAAAGTGCCACTTTATATCAACGGTGAAACACATTTTTACAATTTTCTCAAAACGACTTTAACGATTTTGATTAAACTCGGAGTATCATTGTATAATTAAGTGGTTTTTAATGTCATTTAGGTCTTATCCCCATTAATGTCCTTTTACAGGGCTTAAATGTCTAATATTCAAATACGTCTTCCTCTAAAGTACCTTTAATATGTTTTATTTTAAAAAGTTAATCATATGACATTATTCAGAGTTACGAAGAAATGCTATATATAACTTTTGAAAGAATCTCATAATTGAATAATGGAGATAAAAAATATAAATGCTTATACAGGTCGAAAATAAAGTACTATAGGTAAGTTTTCCTCTAAAGTACTTTTAATACGGTTTATTTTAAAGAATTCTTTTATTGACCAATAACTATAAAAAATGGCTAAGTATTAAGTTTGTAAAAATGCGATAATTGGAAACTGGAGATAAAAAAAAAAATGCATACCCAGGCTGAAAATGAATCTCTAGAAATAAGTCAGAAGGTATACGTACGTATAATATATCGTTGGAAAGCAAAGAATTTTAGAAAAAATAATATAAAATAAATGAAGTTGTAGAAGGTAACGGAGAGTGACGAAAACAATATAAATAATAATTTCTGAAAACTATCATTATTTAACATAATTCACATGTTTCCAAGGAAAGTAAATAAAATTTTCATACTAAACGTAATTTTTTAAATATATTTTTAGTTTGAAAAAGTATTTAAAACCCACAGAATCAAGCCAATGCCATACACTAGCGGATCCAGGATTTAATTTTGGGGAGGGCTTCAGCTCGAAACCTTTTTTTTTCATAAAAATAACGATAATTACTTTGGAAAAACAGAAAGAAACTAACTACCTATATGAAATGGTGTTTAAGTTATTCCTTAAGTACTTTTAAATGTAATTACACGAACAATAATACTTTAGGAGGTATTTTTAAATATTTTTTTCCATAAAACATGGTTATATTTTTCCATTTTGGGGGGGCTTCAGCCCGAAAGCCCCCCCCCCCCGTAGATCCGCCCGTGATGCCATTGTTTAAAATACTATTTCATTTTACTTGTGTAAAAGAAAAAAGTGAAATTAAAAATATTTCATGGATATGTTTATAAACTTAAATACATTTACTGTACTTTTTAATCATTCTAGATATGATATTATATTTAAATATTTAGGTATCTATTGGCCTTTTATTACAAAAAATCGTCAAGTAACCTTTTAGAAAATTAATTAGTGGATAATTTGATGAATTTTCTTATTGTGAAATCCCAACATTATCCACTTACAATTAGTGTGACAACTTTGGAAAATAACAGTATAATAACTTATTCCTAACAATCGATAATCCTTTATAAGTTAAATATTCAGATATACTTTCAATTCTCTCGTGGCATATATGAGCCTTTCGGTTGACAGAATGACTTACCCCAATTTCAACATTCTTTATTATTAATTTTAGTGATGTTTCTAGAGGCAAAATTTATTACCTTTATCACAGTTCTATATTTTAACACTGCAATTACCTACTCTGGAATCAACTTACTCACTGTCTGTATAGATAACTTTTTCAACTATAAATATCACTCAAAAATGTTGAAATTGGAGTTAGTCATTCTGTCAACTGAGAGACTGAAGTTGTGTGGTTTATAAAAGCAGATGGAGTAATTAGACTTTTATTGCCTATCGTCATGTAATAAATAGACTTTTTGTAATTTTAATGGTCTTAATGATTTGTAATCTGTAAGCTTTACGCTTTAGGTCCGTTTAAAATGCACTTCAAAAATTTTATAATATCCCAACATTGCCAGAAAATAATTTATTTTATTTTAATAGAGCGGTAAGTGAAAGTTGTGTGTTGTGTCTAATATTTTTCGAACCAGTATCACAAAAAAAAAGTTTTATTGTAATCGATTACCTACCCTACGTCCGTAATCCCGCCTTGTATGTTTAATATCACTTGTAATTCCGAAAAAATTCCGAAATGTTTCATAAAAATGGGAGAGGAGGAAGTAAAGGATTCCCACAGTTGGTATTACTCAGAGGGAAGCGAATATCGAACTAAATGTAATATTTTATTAATTAGTGTAAGTAAAAAATAGTTTTTGTTATCTGATT